GAAGCACTACAACTGCAGCCAGCTTTCTGAGATTATCCCATCATCATATATGGTTTAGGCCATCCCTGTGACATAGAACCAGAGACTTCAATTTGAGTTGTTCCAAGCAGCTGAAATCATAGAATGCTGCAACCGAAGGGTTTTATTTTGTATGTAACATTTTAGTTGCATTCAAAGTCTAAAGGGCCATTATTAACATTTCATTCTGAAGAAGCAATTACTTCCCCATAGATGGGTGAACAGATAGGAGAACAAGGTCCTTTCTAATTTGATTGCACATGATGTACTCTGTGATTACATTTTGTTCACCAAGGCATTCAACCAGGCATTAATCAGAACTTCTACTTGTTTTTAAAGCCTAACTTGGAGTCTTTCTTGCCTTCTAAATTTTAGAGGAACTTCACCTGCACAAAATGAGAAGCACTCCTGTGACATTTCCAGTGGTGTGGAATTACATTTAGACTCATAATTTGTATTTTATTGCAAGATGTGCCCTTATTAGGATATACAGGATCAAGGATGTGTACCTCTTACTACAGGTATCTGCAGAACAGCATCCTCTCTCTTCTCTCTACTCCCCCTCTGTCTCTCTCCCTCTCCTTATCCCATAAGTCAAGATATCCCTCACAGTTAAGAGTCAGAGGTGAACAAGCTTTGCTTTGCTGCATCCAGTGAACACTCACTGTGCTGTACATCACTTTAGCTATTAAAATAAACAAAATTCTTTCCTAGAAAAAGCTTTCTGAAAGGACTCAATACTTTTTTTTTGGGTTATTTGAGCAGATCTTCAGAACCACTAGGAGAATACTTAAAATCTTGGGGAAATAATTGTTAACTATTGGCCAGAAAAATAGATTATCAAAGGGACGTAATACATATCTGTGCATTTAAATACATGACATTTAATCTTGAACATTTGAGCATGGTACATAGAATAACTAAATCCCAGCTTGTCTGGCCTTATAATTGAGTCATAGTTTCAGAAAATAGTGAAATCATTCAGATCTGTGATTCTGACTTGGTGTTCTGTTTCTGAAGCTGATTTATCACTGAGAATTAAGCAGTGATGATACAGTCCTTCAAGGACAAACCTATTGAATGCACACAGACCTGGTGAAACCTTTAAAGTCACACAGAAGGAGGCATTGTAGCAGGTAAGGAGTTAATGTGTAAAATATTAACAGCCCTAAAGTTCCTTTCTGTCAACAACATATAGGCTTTCCTTTTGAAACCTTCCAGTTGCAAATATTAGTTCTGACAGGAAGGGTAATGGAGACCAGGCATCATGTGCTGTCTCTTCTTTGGGTTGGAAGCCTTTGAACGCCAGAGGCTGCACAAAGAGAGCGGGAGAGATTACAGGAGACATTTTCAAAGGCATTAAGAGTTCTGAAGGACCCAGCTCCCATTCAAAATCAATGAGAGCTGGACACCTAATTAGCATGGGTACTTTGAAAATCTCCCACTCCTTCTCTTTTATGCAAGTTCCTTGCTATAGAAACAGTACTGAAATAGAAATCTAATTGGGAAACGCTGGGACTGGGAAACAGAGGTGAGGAACTGGATTAACTGCATATTTCAAGACAAAAACTTTTTCTTGGACATGTTCATTGCACTTGCTGTTGAAATCAAAATCAAAATCTTCACCAGTATGCAAACTCTCATCTTTTTCTCCTTGAATTTCAATATTTGGACCCCGAAGATGTCTTGTCTTTAGAAATGAGTGTGTTATTTTCAGCAGTATTAGTTTGCTTTATGTTATGTTGACAGTATTGTTGCCTGCATGAAATAATAAAAAGGCACATATCTGTTTTTAGAGGGCAATACATGTTCAGCTTGCCTGATAAAAGGATTCTTTGATAGGATAAGGCTGTGTCTGCTTTCAAGTTACAAGGCAGCAGTTACAAGAAAGTGGATGACCATTGCCTTCCTGCCACTCTCCCTGTTCTCTCAGGTTTGAACCAAGAGCAAGGAATGACTGGCAAGCCAGAACGTTGCATCTTCATCATCCTCCAAGATGTAAAGTCAAGTGCCAGATAAAACCATCATGCCTTGGAAGTTGGGAATAGGAGAATGGAGAACCCAAAGATGCTTTGGTGGGGCCTGTTGTATGTGTATCTGCATTATTGTATTATCTACATCCATAAACCAATTTGCTTCAGTCTTAGATATGACTGCCCTTGGAGGCAGTAAGAGCAGAGATCAGGATTTACACCTCCTTGGCAACAGGTATATTTTATGCCAGAAACAATTTTGATCTTTCATCCAAAAGAAGCTTTACTCTCTTTGCTTTAAATATAATTCTGTTTTTTGTCATTCTGCCAGCTGATTTGGAGCCTCTGGCTTTGTGCCTCGTTATGACACATTTTCAACTTGCCAATAAAAAAATCTGATGTTGAGCCATTTTGGCAAATGTCTATTATCATCAAGGAAGAAAATTAGGGTCCCACTTGACATATGCCTCTGGTTTTAATCAAACTATTAAGACTCTGATATTGATAAATTGGCCAGAAATTGCTCAAACAGTGACTACTGCTACACTACCACTGTAATAATTGGTTCAATGACAAGAATTACTCTGATGCAGCACGACAATTTTCCCTTTGTCTTTGCAAAGAGAAAATGAAGCAGGTAATATCTAAACTTTTGTAAAATAACTGTATGCTTTAAAATACATTTGGTTTACATTGGGTGAAACCAATCCTTTCTCTCGTCACTCGATTATGAAACAATACTTCATTAGGATGTCTTGCGTAAGGGGAGTCATCCTGGAACTTATCACCTACATCCAGCTAATAATCTCCCTTGGTTTAAGTTAAGATTTTAAAAAACTCCAGTTAACTGCTTTCTAGTTAACCCTTCTTACTATTACTTTCATTCAGGTGTGCAGACAGATAAACAAGAGAGAGAAAATGGGCCTTATGACAGAATTAATCCTAGAAGACCTAATTGTTCCTGAGCTGGTTGATGATTCACATACATTTCACAAAACTTCCTCTTATCTGCTTCCTCATAGAAAAAAATTAAAAATATAAAATTACCAGGACCCTAATCCAGCATGGTTTTATCAATGTTTGTCACTTAGAATGTATTTTCACAGCATGAGTCATAGTACTAATGATAATCTTGCATCTTTCAATGCATACAACTCACTGTAGATGGTGAAACAGGTAAGTATGTCAAAGTTCTCTGACCTTTTAAGTATAATAAAAATGTTTTAAAGAACAATTGGAGGGAAGACAGTACTGGCTTGCCAATAAACATTTTTTTTTCTTTTTAACAGTAGGATATAATATGTGGATTTAGGAGGGAAATACTAGTAGATCCCAGAATTTCCAGCACAAGCATGGTTTTGATTCATGTAAGTCTCACACTTTAGAAGGTCCCTACTCCTGAGTGAAATTCTACCACCAGCACGTTGCCATCCCAGAGCCTCCAGGGCAGCTTCAATGTCTTGTTTGTCTTACAAAGGAGAGCAGAGTTTGGATCAGTGAATTCAGTTAGGAATTACTTCTCATGGTGATATACAGCTGGATTTCACTTATCATCCTTTTATCACAGCCTTCTGCAGGCAGATTGCTTTTATTATGGTTTTGTACATGGTCACATTTTGCTTTGTAAACTGGGGGGTAGTTGAGGATATTTCCCACAATCCATTAATATAATGATACTCCTGCTTCTCCCACTTCACATATAGTGGGGGAAAAGAATTCCAGCATGTGCACTCTCAGCAATACAGTAGATTTTAATGGGTTTAATTTAAGAATATTTCATGCCAGGAAGAAGAAGAAGAAGGAAAAAAATGAACTGCTTTGTAAAAATTCTGTTCCTTAAAAAAATTCTCTGCAAGGACTGAATCATTAAAACAGCAAAACACATGAAAAGTACATCCAAAAGAACTGAAGATCAGATCTGGATCCATTTTGACTTACACCAAGGGTTTATTTAGCCAAGGCACTTTAGCAGCTGCCATTAGAGATAAACACAAATCAGACTAACCCAGGGAAAGTTCTCTGTTTCACACAGTGCTTGCCATGAGATGTTTGGTGTTAGAGTGAGGGAAGAGAGAGCATCTGTCACAACTTTATACTGAGGTGGTTTGAGGATTTGCACCATGCTATCATATGACCCAGTTTTTTAGAACATGCCAGCTGGCAAATCTGAATCTCCTTAAATTTACTAATATTGGAGACCAATTTTTAACTGTAAAACTGCTCAGATCACCAAGAACTAAGCTTTGTCAGCAGAGGCAAATAAAGAGAATTAGAATGCTTTCCTCTTTTACATTTGCATTTGGATTTTGCTGTTCCAAGGAAAGAAAACACTTTTCTCTAACACGTCACGCACAGAGACAACAATTTGTAACATGAATGCTAATAAATAGCTTTTCCTGTAATTCTTCCAGTTTCACCTGTCTCCCTACTCTTACTAAAAACATTATTTACAGGAGCTAAGCCAGGAGTCTTTTCAGTGTCCATTTCAATGAAGCCACTAATAGCTTAGAGGAATGCCCTGAGTGCTTTCTTGTATGCTGGTAAGAAGACAGCTATGTATTTATCAGGAAAAGAATGCTTTTTCAGTACTAAACTCTATTTCAGTAAATTTTTAAATTTTTTTTCTGAGTAAAACTCATTCTGTCATTAGATACATTATTCATTTAAGAGCATGAGAATAAGGTATTTCCAAACATCCTGTGAAATACCTACACCTACCTGCATCCTAGTTTTTTGGATTTCAATGCTACAACTCAGGAACAGTTAAAAGTGTGATTACTTAGGAATGTTCAGATGACAGTTGTGAAGGCTACATCAAACTGATGTGATTTTTGTATGCAGTTTGCTTGCAGATGAACCTCTGTTATAGGTCATGTTTTTCATCATTCCTAGCTTCTAAATGGTAGAGGTTACAGCTGGACATTTTTTACGTAACTTATATTTAACTTAGAAATATTAATTTAAATTAAAAATAAGAATGACCATTACCAAATTCATTACATTACATACCTTTATCTAAAGCCAAAGTGGATTCAATTGGTCAAAATATTCTGAATCTGTGCAAGCCCACATCCTGTCTGTCTCCAGAAGCACTGTCAAGCAAACATTAAACTCCATATTTATAAGTGGTTTAGTGAGAAAAAAAACCCAAACCAATGCACATTCCTTAGCTTTAAAGCAATGATCATAAAAATTCTCCATGATTTTAAGAATGTAGGGAAGAGACATTATGCGTTTTCAATGCATTAATTTACCTTTGTGATGTGAGGCACTGGTCTGGGTCCAACACAGCAGGTAAGAGTGGTGCTTAAGAAAATAGAAGAGAAATACACTGAGAAGAAAGATTCTCTGCAAATGGCAATCCTTGTAGAGAAGACAATGCTTCATTTGTGAAATAATAAACAAATTAATGGATAGAATGCATGTAGAAATGTGTAGAGCAGCTTAAACAAACAAGGGAATTGCAGAGCAAACACACTGCCCCTCTCGTGAGGGCCATATCAGAGAGAAACTGTTTATAGTGTGCTCTGCACTTCCTCCAAGAAAAGAAAGAAAAATTCAGGCACCCTGCACTTTTCAGATCTTGATACCAAACCTACTGAAATTCATCGGTCCCTGACTTTAATGTGTTTTGAATCAGATCCTTTAGAGGAAAAAAAATGTATCCTTGAGAATATTCATTGCCATTCAAGCACTTTCAACACTTCCCTTGACAGACAGTGTAACCCAAGCAATTATCCTGCAACGTTGTATGTAAATAATTATCAGTTTATGCTGTCCCTGCTCTGACCTCCTATAATGAGGCTGATGAGGTGTCAGCAAGCAGACCTCACCTGTCACTTGCCAACCCTATCTGCAGATTGGTGAATGAGAGTTTTGTTTACCATTCCTTGAGTTCCCAGAGAAGTACAGAGCACAACCACAGCATCATTTAGAGTGAAACTTGTAGTTCCCACATTCTAGTGTGAAACAATATTACTAATTTTAAGACTTGAACAGAAGGTATCTTTCTGAATATTTCTCCTTCAAGTGTTTTTGTCATACTCAATCATTAACACAGATGTACCTATAAGGCAATATTATATTTAAATACTTATACATGTTACTTGCTGTAGCTCTTTTTTTCTGTTAGATTTTGGTACTGTAGGAAAGCACAGGAATGTGCCTGGAGAACCTTGATCTCTCCAAATGCTACAGGTTTGAAACACCACATGAGCCTTCTGATACATTGGTTTCAGGTAAGATTGTCTCCTCTGCCTGTTTACTTGCCAGAATATTGCATTCAGCTTTACCTTCTATATTTCACACTGTAATATCAGAGAATAATCTTTTATTTGTGCTTGTGTTGTAAAAGTATATAGAGATCATATTATTTGATATTATTTTCTCCACATATTTCATTGAAATCTCAGCTGCCAGCTTCCCAGCACTGAGTACAGTACCTTTGAAGCTCAGTGTATCTGCCAACAACCTCTTCCTTCAAAGCTTAAATTTCCAGTCATAGCTCTAATCTGCATTTTTTCCTATGGTGCTATTCCACCTGCAGATTACGGAAGTTGAGTTCTGATAGAGGATTAAAGCATTAATAGTATTTCCTTATATCTGCATCGATATAATTTTTGGGCAGCTTTACTGAGAATACCAGCAAAGTTCCTTTTATTGGCAAAGAAAGCTCAAAGACTGAACTTTGAAGGGCTGTAGAGTTACTTAGCACTCCTATCCCTAATCTGTGTGATGCAGGAAGGTTTCCTCTTTCATCTTGCTAGCAGAAAAATGGCTTAAAAATATTATTTGCCATTTTGGGATTTTAGGACGGGTAACAAGTACAGATCTGAGAAAATGTCAAGGTAAATCACAACACACAAAGAAGTGGCAACTTCCCACAGGTAAGAATTTTAAATCACAATTCTCCTGTGAATCCTAGAAATCATGATTCTCCTAGAAAATATTACTGGTTGGTTTCCCCTGCATTCACTTTTCCTTACAATAAATTCCCAGCAAATAACTCACTGATAGGTCAGCATTGATACATCAAGTGTGCCAGCACTCCTCACAGGACATACCTCATACCATTCACTGGTGTGAGAAAATAGTTTTAAAATTATCTATGCTTCTCAGACATTAAAGATTTGCAGGGAAAAAATGGTTATTCATCCAATATGTTTAACAGAGTAACACAGAAATTTATGAGAAGCATTCACTTGGTAACTTTAAGAATAAAAGGAAAACTTGCAGTTTAACCCTATGATCTTTCCTGGCTTTGCTGTTTTCAGTGAACCTCAGAGAACTATTAAAACAACACAGGGTATTGCTGGTAGGTCATAGGGACTTCTTATTTCTGCTTAGAATCTGTGTAGAAAATGAACTACAGAGGTCAATAAAAATTGCTTTATTAGTCTGGTAAGTCTCAATATTCTCTTGATTTCGTTGTCTTAATAACATTTAATATTACTGTATTGTATCTTTTTCTCCTTAGTCTGTTTGCAAGTTTGGCTGATTAAAAACTGGTATTAAAGAAACTAATAAATGCCCAGGAATTGCTATCAGGGCTCAAAAAGGAAGCATAGACAGGATTTTATGTCCATCACAAGCTGTATCTGTCTTCCTATCCAAGATGCTATCCAGAGTAAAGGTGTGTGATCAGAAAGCAAAAGTACAGCAACTCCATACTAAAGGAAAATTATAATGTAAAATGAGGAAAATGCAACAGATGGAGACAACTGCTGTGACAGACCCATTATATTGCCTCCTCAATTCTGTAAGAATATTTATTTCTTACCTGCTGGCTGGAAAGGTATTTCCTTCAAGGCCTGAAAGGAAGGGGGAAAAAGGGAAAATTAAATTTTAAATGGATTTTCCCCAATGCTCAGAAACCAAAATGAAGCACAGACTTAAATTTATTTTTTTCCTCCATTCTTTCTATTTCTACCTTTTCTATGAGAAACCAAAATGGAAGTACATTACTTTCCTCATTGGATTATCATATATCCATCATTTTAAGAGAAATAATTTTTTTCAGTCATTGAATGAGAAAAGGGATGAATGAATCAACCAAACTTTTTTCAAAGCAATGTTAACCAATGTATTGTTGACTTACACCTTGTTTTCAGTATAAAACTCAGCCTGAAGAAACTTAGTTTATAAGGATAAACTACTAATGAAACACAAATCCAGTATTTGAATCTTCTCAACTGCTCATCCTGCCCTTTCAGATATAAAACATAAAAACAATTCCATCATGACATGAAAGAACAGAATTCTTCAAACGTTTTTGTATCTATAAAATGCATGGACTTTTGTAAAGTGACATAATCACATCTAGAGAAAAATAAAAACAGTTGCTCATGTTAATTAGATGAGAGCGACAGAAAACATAACAAGATTGGTTTTTTTCCTTTTAAATTCACCAATAGGTCTCCTGTAGCATAGAAGAAATTACAGAGGGAACCAGCAAATATTTTGAATGATTAGTCTGTTATTACAGTTGCAAGGGCAATAATCTTTGCTAGATCATTTTCCAGACACCAATAAAGCTCCATTAGGAATATTTCAAAATCCAATATTTGTACACTGTCAGAGATTTTAATTTTATAACAAGCATTTTTTACATTTGCATCATTAGCATCATTTGCAACTGCTAATGCTGCTTGTTCACAAATTAATACAAAATTGACTATTTGCTTCCAGCCAACTACCCAGATAACATGACGAACATGAATCATCATCGGGTGCAAGAGACATTTAAAAATATTTTCATAATTTCTATTCATCTGCAAAACTGGATTAACAACTCTAGGATATATTCCATTGTATCAGGTTCAGAAATCATGGAAACATTGATGTTCCTGTAAAATTATTCTCTCTAAGTGATGGAATTCTAAGGATTTGAAAATGTCTCCAAACCGTTAGTAGCTTCTTTTGTAATTTTGAGAATATCTTGATATGCAACTGAGTTGTGATTTTTGGAAGTATATCAGAATAAGCAAGATAAAATTGGAAAGAAGTTTTCACGTTGAATAGTGTTCAGGCTTTTTTTCTACTATTTGAAAAATAATGAAAATAAATTGATTGTGTATGTCCTTAAGTTCATGACACAACACATTAACTGGAGAATAGACCCCAGTAAGGAATCAAACAAAAGTAAATCCCCATGAAAATTCAGGTCTAAAAATTTAGCAGAGTAGAAATCAGAAATAGAGATTGCATTAAGTGGCAAATATTGTTTTGCAACTAACTGATTTAATGTTCTGATTTCAAGAAATGAAATTATCCCATTCCAAATTCAGCCGCTTTCTCTGGAATAAGTATTGATTTCTCAGAAAACTGGAACTCTTAACGAGCACTGAATGTGGCAAGAGATTTATCTTCATAAGAAACACTGAAAATAAATTCAGGTGAGTGTGTGCATGCTCATATAAGGAAATATTTTAATGTTCTTTTCTTAAAGCCGAGCTGTAATATTTCAGCATTGTGGTTAACATATTGTATGATTTTTAAAATATAATTGTCTTTTTAGTTATAGAGGAAAGGGTGGATTTGCTAATGTCCTTGTCCATTTTTAGATGATTGTCCTCTTGGCAAAGTCTGATATCGAGGGAACCAAACTATGACGTGCAGAGCATTGGACACTGCAGGAAATAGTGGAAACCAAAGCTCAATTACTCACCAATAGCTCCAGTAAACTTTTTATAGTTTAGGTACCACATAGCATGAATTCCTGTCTGTCAAGCCCTTGTTGAAGAGAGTGGGAAGCAAGAATAGGTTGCTCACTTATCCAAGTGATGGATTCTCCTGTGTTGGCTACAGTACTTGCTACCAAGTCCACAGCTTTGCTTCCATCTGTCTTGAAGAGCTATAAATGTCCCTGCTAAGTCCTATGATCCACTGTCAAGGTCTATATAGGGCATAAAGAAAGAAGGATGATGATTTCCTTGATGGAATCACATCATCTACCTCCAAGCAACCTGTGAGATGTTAGTAGTGAGGGAATTTCTTCTTGCTCCCTGGCCCTTAATAGGCAATTAGCTTTTACTTCTTAAAATTATAGCATGTTCCTTATTTTAGTTTATCTAACTTGAAGTGTTAATTATTGGTCACAAAATTACCCTTTTGAAAATTGCCCATAAGAACTTCTTAATCTAAACTTCTGCATCTTTGATTTAAACAGAGGAACTCTGAGCTTTTGAGTATCCTACTTATTTTTAAGTGTTATAGCTTTAATTATTAAAATATCAGTCTTATATTTAAGGATAAAATGTGTGTATATATGTTCATACCATATATTTATATATATATACCATATATCTATATCTATCTATCTATATATCATATATATATGTCTATGCCATATATCAGTGGCATAGGATCAGAGCAGGTTAGCATTCAGCTAACAGAGACATTTTGTCTCGGGTCCCACCGTGGTCAAGTGTGATGCACACAAATTACAAATATGCTGCTGCTCTGAATGGTCTCTGATGGTGCTCCCAACTCACAGAGCATTGTCTGAGCACTGTCAGAGTGCTCTGCAGCTCTTTCAAGTCATGTCTACACACAGATACTTCCTGCCACACTGAGCAGAACACGAGCCCTCACGGTGTGATCTGAGCTGATCGGGCTATTTGCTTGCCGCTGTGCCCGTATTTTCATATGGACAGCGATGGCAGGAACCTCCCCTCTGAAGTCAGCAAATCCATACTAATTTACAGCAGACCAGGAGTTGGCTCTTAACATACTTAGCTGCCTCTTACATGGTTTATTTGTGGAAGGCTCAATAACTCTACTATCTGCTGAAGAGGAAAATGCACATCTAAGCATAATAGAGCAACTTGAACATTGTTATTACAGCCGAGGTGCCGCATTCAGTGAGATCAATGCTCATATTAAGATGTTTGTTAATGAAACCCCCTGGCACACGGCTAATTTATGCTTCTCAAGCAGCTCCTGTAGGCTGGCTACTGTGACTGTCATAAAATATATAGGTGTGCAATTCATCTGGCTAGATTAAAATCGTGAACTCATAGCACATCAAAGACAGCTTTATACCTACTCTGTGGGTCTGCACAGCAAAGATAGAAAATGCAATTTCACTAACTCTCTTATTTAATTAAAGAAAGGAAAAAGAAAAACAAGTGGAGCTGCTATAAGAGTATCAATCCCACTTGACTTACAGAACTTTGATGATAAGTCAAATTCAGTACTAAGTATATCAGAACTTGGTAAGCCATTGAGAGAACCAAATTGGCTGACTGGCATCCCAGTGGGCAAATTAATCCATGTGAACTCTTCTGTTGAGTGTATACTGCCCAACTCTCTAAAGTATTACTTTTTGTAGTATAAGAGACCTTAGTGATTTTTATAATTAAGAGTACTTTAATAATCTATTCCTCAGCTAGAAGGACCTACAGTCAAAATGTCAATTTTAATCTTATTTTGGTAGCAGGCTTCTTTTTAAAAAAGATTCTTCCTACACTGAAGGAGCCCTAAATTTGTTTCTGTTAGGAGGTGGGGAGACTGATTGCAAAAATGACTAAGCTATTTTTTGCTACAGGTCTTACAGTTTTTTCTCTGAAATCTAATTCAGCAAACAGGTACATGCCAGTAAGAACACAGAGCAACCACAACCTAGAGAACACTAGAGAAGATGAATATTTAAAATATGGGCAGATGAGGTGGCCTCTGTAGACTTAGTCAGAGCTGGGGCATGGATATGAGCAAATGACATTAACAGGCTGTTGGCTATTTTCAGGTGGCACTCTGCCACCACCTTTGCTCTTTCACTGGAGACAAAAGGTTCACTGCAGAGGATAAAAATAAATGAAAATTTGCATGTTCTGATACAAAAATCTCCAAATCCTGAGCAGCGTTTGTATATTTTGCATTATAATGACTTGGAGCCTTGGAGTTCAGAAACCACGGGAGCCTTAAGCAGAGGCAATTCACTCCATCAGTGACACTGATAAAATCTGTTGATGTCAGGAAGAGTTCTAAAAAACCTTGCTGAATCCCTGAAGGGCATTAACCCTTGTTAATGGTAGAAATTTGAGCTCTGTGATCATGGAACAGCACAATATAGTCAATCCATCTGAATGCTGGTGTTTCTCAAAGTACGGTTCTCTTCTGGGATAAACTGCCCAGAATTACAGATTTTGGGAACAACCTGCCTGCTCAGTGACATTGGTATTCCTGTCAGCCTCTGTGCCAATAGCAGCAGGAAAGCTGAAGAGAATGCCAATGAAGCAGCAGGGCCTGCTTCATTACATGTTTTGGTGGATTTGAATCAGAATTCTACATGTTCTCAATTAACAGGAAAATTTGAAATTGCAACTTTAGGCAGATCTAGACCAAAACAAAAATCAGCAAAATTCGAAATTTTCTGTGAAACAGCAATCCTGTTCCTTCTATCAGCTTTATTATTCACATCAAAAAGGTCTGTGGAAACAGCAAGAACAAATTTTCATTTCATCCTGCCATAGTGCTGGGCAGAGTTGCAAGTTTCCAAGTCATGTTCTCATCCTCGTGCTATACAAAACAGGGTTTTGTCAGTAGGAACAAGTCACAACGAAAAGCAGAAGAAAATAAACCAGTAGGCTATACCTACTCCTGAAAGGTGAGCTCTCTGCATAAATGCTTCTGTTGAAAAACATACCCCTAAAAGTGAAAAGAATCTAAAGTGTAGGATATACAAATGTGTTATTTATGCCACAGTGCTTTTATTCATTGCATCAATAATTTTGCTTGCAGAGACACAGGTAGATGATTACCTTTAAAAGGAATCCTGATGCCCTATTTGTAGCAGGTTGAATTTCATCAT